GGTAAAGAAAGAAGTCACTGGGGGCCAGATCAGATGAGTAGGGAGGGTGTTCCAATACAGTTATTTGTTTATTGGGTAAAAACTCCCTCACAGACAGTGCCCTGTGAGCTGGTGCATTGTCGTGATGCAAGAGCTCCTTCGGGACCATTTTTGCACACACCTTTCTCATGCCAAGATTTTCAGTTAAGATTTTCCTGTTTCTCTCTCGATGTTTAACTTGGTCTGCTGTGCTTCTCACAGTCAGCTGATGATGGTGATGCACAATTCGATGAATTTTTGCAGTGTTTTCAGTTCTGCTAGTTACTGGCCGCCCTGACCTCTTGTCATCAGTGACGCATTCTCTTTCCTCAGAAAAACGTTTAATCCATTTGTACACTGCTGTTTTCTTCATGGCATTATCCCCATAAACTTGGACTAACATTAACATGTCCCTGATTTGACTTCCACCCTTGCTAAGTTTAACAAGAAATGTAATGTTTGTTCGTTGCTCTAATTCAAGCTCAGACATTCTCACGATGGCACACAAAAACACACAACATTAATGAACTCCACTTAGCAAAACACCACCACACGTGGACACGAACACAGCTGTGAGACACTGATATACCAAGGTTATGAAACAGCGATCTGTTTGTACAGTGCTGCCAATGTAAGCGCACAGTCGTTAAGTTCGAGAACTTAATTGTCAGACCTCATAGGTCAAAAACTTCAAGATAGTGTGAATCTATATTTCAGAAAGAAAGAATTAGATTCTTTCAGTTAAAGAAGGAAGAATGTTACCAGTGCTCAGCTTACCATGATAGAATATTTCACGCACAATCCCAAAGAATATGTTCATGTTTTATGATAGCAGGCACACACATGTTAAAGTGAATCGCACCTGTTATGGCTTGGAAGGTCATTATCAAAATGATTATTGGTAAGCCGTATTAGCATTTTATCATTAGAGTTCTTCTTATAAGTACTTTTGTAATAAGAGAAATCATAACAGCTAAGAGTTACTTTAAAGTGGGAATGATTTACATGTTGTTATCTTGACTTTCCACTTTTGACGACTTCACCATTTTGGCAAATTTAATCTTTTAGGGTCTTAGATTAATATATTGGCAGCATTGTTCTCTGCCACTTCTAGCCAGATCTCACTGCCTTTTTAAAACCCTGGGATTAAAATTTGTTAAGAAGATTGAATTGTCTAAACTTCTATAAAGCAACTGTCTGAACATTTGAAACAGATCATGTCCCTTAGATAATTTAGCTGATATGTCTCTTTATTACCATGGAATTACTTTTACTTGATTTTTTAGAAACAAATTACTGAGTTTAGAAGTAGACTAGTTCTATAAGCATCTTTTTAGGAAACAGAGTACACCATCAGAAAAGTCCTATGCTGAACTTTGTGTCCACATTTAAGTCTTTATGTCATTAAAAAAAAATCTAGTAAGAGGCAGTTTGGATCTAGTGTGAAATTAATAATTTTGTGTATCTGTACAATTATAGTGAAAATTTCTCATATATCAATTACTGTATTTATATATGCTCAGTCTCATCATTTGTAGTTTAGTCAGATTTTCTTAATGTTGCTGCTAAAACTTGAAATTGTACCTGTTCTTCTAAAGAGCTATCCTAGACTTCTCAATTCTAAAGGAGTGATTCTTAGTAGATACACATCTAAAAGCGGAATGTCTTGAACGTGTTTCTATCAGTATGTAAACACATATGAGTACAATAAAATGATTTAACCATTTACATATAATGCTTAATAAAGTCCAGGCATTAACTCCGTTTATTTCTCAGTGACACCATTCTTGTAATTAATCCTGATTTTTTTTTTTTTCACTCTGGTAAACTGATGAAACCAAATTGGTGTTCAGCTGTATATTCCACCAAAGTATTTCATGGAATGAGATACTTTGATCTCTACTGGCATGTGTTCAAAAGCAACATGTAGAATTTATTATACTTGGTTTAATACTTGAGCCTAGTTCACGTTTGCATATCTACATTGAAATTGTGATGATTGGTTATACTTTAGAACGCCAGTGGAATCATGTGCTTGAAATATTAAATCATCTCTTTTAGATTTAATGAGTTGACGTTACAGAAAACTAAATTTTTTTATTTCTTTGTTCTTACTAAAGTATCTTAGCTACGAGTACTTAGAGGATCAGGGGAGGGTGCTGATATTCTGACTGGTATTTTTTGACTTCGGATTGAGCTGGATTTTACAATATATATTTATCTTTTATATGTTTTTATCAAATTGGTGTCTCAAAATGTTTCTGGGCCACCTCCCCTTTTTTTCTGTTTTATAATAGTATTGCTGTGTGTAATTAAGAATAAGATCTGTTTTAAAGTTGTGTACTGCTTTGTGATTTATATATTCCTTAATTTGTTTACATCTAGAGAATATATTTGATTGGAATGTTAAGCAGTTGTTTCTTTATTTATCAGCAGAATATTCAACAAAAAATAATGTAAGTATATATAGGAATATTTTAGTAGATATGTAAAACAACATTGTTTATGAAAAAGTAGAAATTTTATATATTCAAAGTATCTGACCTGGATAGTAAAAATCACAAGCCTATGAAGTGTTGGCTCTACTAAGAACACATTATTCCCTTTGGTAGCTAGCCTCTGCCTTTTTTTTTTTTTTTCTGTTTCTGTAACTTTGTGGTTTCCAGAATGGGGTGCGTGCAAGGTAATCCATAGATATATAAGGACAACAATTAAAAGTTACTACTTATTGTTATGGATCTAAGAAGAGTTGCACTTTTTGAGTTTGTTCAGCTTTTTACTTGATGTTAGGATGGAGTGGCAACTCCAAGCTCCTTACATGCCATACTGGAAACCATAAGTCTATTTGTGTATTTCTCAATTTAAAATAAAAAGGGAAAGAAATTAAACTTTACTAATGCTTGCTTGCTATATGAAATGACATTAACACTCAGTCCATAAGTCAATGGTCACATTCTTCCTAAAACATGCAGATACTCTGGAGGAAGAAGAGGAATTTTGTAGGACAAGAGGTTGGCCATGCTACTACACACACACACACACACACACACACACACACACGCACGCGCGCGCCCGCTCGTGCACCATTCATTCACATTCAGCATTTTGCAAAGTTTTGCAGTATATACCCAATTAAGTGGGTTATATTGTCTGGTTTTAATAAACTAATCCTCACCAGATGGACTTTAAAAGATTCCTTCAAAGAAATCGCAGATTAAAGATAATGCTAATAACCCAAGCGTATGTAAACAACAGGAAAGTGGCAGAGCTGATATGTCTGGTCCTTTTTTTTTTCTTTTGGTCCTTTTTTGAGCAGCTCAGCCACGTTAAAGGATTAAAAAAAACAACCTAGACAGATCTAGTAAGTTGGCTGAGAAAATTCAACTTTAGTCAAGACTGAAATGCCCACTTACATTCATTATAAATGATGATATTACCAAATTATAATAGTATTGTGTATTATGTATGTAATTTGTGAATAAAGGTGCATATTTTGGGGTTTGTATTCAAAATAATTTGTGATTGAAAACGTTTGGAGATCACTTCCAGTGATAAAATCAGAAAGGAGGTTGCTGAACTTTGAGTATACCAGGAGATGGGAGGTAGCATTGCTGCCCAGCTGTAGTATGTGTCAATATTCTCTATCTATAGCTGTAATTACAGAGATAGACAGCAAGACATTTGAATCAAGACATTGTGCTTATAATTCTGGTTACTCAGATATGTAATCAAAAGCTGTAAAGATACCTAGTTTTTTTTAATCATCTCTGAGATCATTTTAAAATCCATCTAAATATTTAATTTCAATGTGTTACGAGCTGTTTTGATAGTCTTATTAAGCCATACATATAAATTAATATCTGTCTATTGAGAAATATTTTGCTTTGTTTTGGAATTGTATGGGATTCACCAGTTTGAGTAGCCTTTTTAATTATAAATTAGTTTATGAGAAGCTTTACAATTAGAAGGTATTAAAGTATTAGATTAAAATGTTAAAACACCATTAGTTTGTGATGGAAATTTATTAGTCCAGTCTGATTTAGAGCTTTTGTTGCAGATAAAGGTTGAGATATTTATATAGAATATTGCTAAAACAGAAATCTTAAGTCCTAAAAGTATAAAGTGAATGATTCTGATAAGTGAATTAAAATACAAAGGTGAGAACTGTGGAATTAAAATGTGCTTCTGTGTTGTTTTACCTGAGTTACCTACCCCTTACTTTTGCTGTCAGCATACATTGGAGGTAATTTGTAGTTAGAGATGAATCAACTTCTGTATTTTATTTGGACTGTCTTATTTTCAAGGGATTAATCAGCTTTACCTGTTGATTGGTTTTTTTAGTTTACTGGAACTTGTAGCACTTCAGTTCATTGTACAGTACCTTTATTTTGAGCATATCTTTTATGCCAGGTATTTTGTTAGGCCCTGGAAATAATTGGATTGAATAAGTTTTGCTCCCTGCCCTTGAGAATCAAGTATTAGTCAAGTATTAAAACATAACAGTTAGAAAAAGCTGTTTTGAAGATAAAAGTAACAGCTGTAAACACATTTTATTCTATAAGCCTCAACAAATCGTCCAAATAAATATTTGTCACCTTGTTGACAGATATATCTAGATTATATTCATAATTCTGGTTTACCCCAGCATGACTAGTAAGTTAATACAGTTTGGAATGACAGACTATTGCTTTGGTGAATGAATAAATATACATGAAAAGTCATTTCACTTTGGCATATCTTTGATTCTGTGTTCCTCTGTTGTGATGTTTCCGTTTAATGTTAGATTCTTTATGGTGACGATTTGAACACTTAGAAATAACTGTTCCACATTTCTTTTTAGTTAAAGCAGTCAACACACGCTGAGCAATTGGCTTTACAAGCTAATGGATGATATATTGGGTTATCGGAAAAGTCATGACATATTTTTTCTGTTTTTCATTGCAAAAATGCGTCATGACTTTTCCGACAACCCAATAGCTTAAGAAGAACACAGTTCTTGGGACTTAACTAGTGATCACAAATGTGTTTTCTCTCCATTTCATGTCCCCAAATTTCCAAACAATTTCTACATGATATGTCAAAATAGTGGCTTAAGAACGTTGTCTGGCCTATTGAATTTTGCCATAATAAAACAACGATGTCCCTATGTTATATTTTAATGTAAAGAAAAAATATGAAAAGGCTTCATTTCTTTAATGATTCCTTGGTAATTTAAAAACCTTGGTGGGGGCCGGCCGAGTGGCTCAGTTGGTTAAGAGCTCGCTCAAGAGTGCGAGCTCTCAGCAACAGCGGTTCGATGCCTGACCCGAGCTGAGCTGCTGCTGAGCTGCCAACAGGTGGCAGGAGGGCTCAGCTAAAAAAAAACCTTGGTGATAAATTGTGACATAATCTGGCAGCAGTGACCTGTATTAACAGTGGTAGGTAGAACTGTGCCCCTGGCTCCATACAGGGTCCTTATGAGTTGGAGTGTCTCAGAACTTTACAGGGAAGAGTGACCTAAAAGAAGGCTTCCTTTCCAGGGATTCTTGTCCCTTCTGTTTCTCCAGAGTCCTCATTCTGGAGAGCATATAGATCTAAAACCTTGTATTAAGCTTTGAGGACTCTGAATAAAACAGTTGCCTTAGCAAGATGAATGATTTTCTTTAGGGAAATGCCTTTCTTTTGTCCAAGAAAAGTTTGACCCCTTCTTATATTTATCCACTTGTTACCATTTTGTATGCTTTAAGATTTTAGCAGTCCCTTCAAAGTTGGGTTCATTGATAATAAACTGTTTGCTTACCAATATTTTCAATTTGAAGTGACAAAATTGCTATTTCTGATTAGTTAATTAATTTTCATTTTATGCAGGCTCTGAACCAAGTTGTCCTTTGGGACAAGATTGTTCTGAGAGGTGATAATCCGAAGCTGCTGTTGAAAGATATGAAAACAAAATATTTTTTCTTTGATGATGGAAATGGTCTCAAGTGAGCAGTTCTTCATTATTTTTTACATTTAATGAAATGTGAAGGGGAGTAAAAATGTATTTTTAAAGAAAAGTATTAGAGGGTAAAAGAGGCAAGTTGAGAGAGAGAAGCAAAGTATACCGATCTGAACTGGGAAATGGGGTAGAAATACTGCCATACAAACTGGGATCCAAGAGAAGTGCTCAGTTCTTGTAATATGTATTGAGTTGTCGGAAAAGTCATTTTTGCAACGAAAAACAGAAAAAATATGTCATGACTTTTCCAACAACCCAATAGAATGTAATAGCCCTACTCTTAAAGCCTCTACTTTTAAGTACACTGGGAGCCGGGTTTGCCCTGTGGAAGCAGGACTGTGATTGTTAAAGGCTCCTTCTGAGGCAGAAGAGGAAGTTGCCTGGGAAACCTTCATGGGGAAGTAGTGCATTGGCCTGTTGATACTGAGGTTTCTAGATTCGGTTCTCTTAACCTCTCTGAACCTCAGTTTCCATTTTATACAAAAATGAAGGAATTAGAATACTTGATGTTGTGTGTCATTTTTAGCTCTTCTCTGTGAGTAAACATTGGGAAGGATTTTGGGGGGGAGAATTACTTTAACCAAACCTCTGGTTTTACAGATGAATAATTTCAGACCATGAGAGGTTTCGATTTGTCCAGGTTTGCCCACCTAGATAATGATAGAATTAGGATTCAAATAATTGTCTTCTGATTTCCAGCTCAAATCTCTTTTTATAGTCTCTGTGTTTCACTCATTTAAGCTTTTGGTTGATAGCTCTAGTAATTGTGAGTTTAGGTATGTCATTATGGGATGCCTGCAGACACAATGCTGGTGTTTTCCAGCGTTGTTTTGGATTTTAAGACTTGAAAAAACTTTTGTTTCTAGATTAGTAATAGATGATTATAAATAAAGTGTTTGACACCTCAGTGCTTTAATTAAAATGTTTTTATTGAACCACAAATGTTTCTGCTGACATCTGTTTATTATATCTTTTTATAGGGGAAACAGGAATGTCACTTTAACCCTATCTTGGAACGTTGTACCAAATGCTGGAATTCTACCTCTTGTGACAGGATCAGGACATGTGTCTGTTCCATTTCCAGATACATATGAAATAACGAAGAGTTATTAAATTATTCTGAATTTGAAACAGCATATTTTTATACTTAATCAATCGTATCTCATCTCTTCCCTTGCGTTCATTTGTTTTTGGTGGTTAATTTTTTTTGTATGTGTATAAGAAGTAACATCAAAAGGCATATCTGAAGGGAAAGGTTAATGTGCTACTTCAACTTAATTTTGCAGTCAAACAAAAAAGGCCACCAGAGTGGAGTATTATAATAATAAGAAAGCAACATAATAAGGATTCGTAAAATGTTTAAATTGGAAGTATTCCCTGTATTTCCATTATTCTTAATGGAATATGAGGTGAGCATGAAGGGCATCTCACATGTTTAGGTGCCAGTGGAGTTCAAAGAACTCTGTTGTGTGCCTTGTATTCATGCAGGTTCACAGTGGATGGGACTTACAGGTAGACATTCTCTTTTTATCTCTTTTAAGGTGTGTCTGATTATTGGAAACATTAACATGGTTATTTGGGTTATTTGTGAGAAACCTGGATTACAAAACAGCCAAAAGTGATGGAATTTTATTCCATTTGTCTTAGGAATGTCCGTCATGCTTGTTTTTCTTACAGGTGACTAGCAGCTTTCTCCACTTAAAGACTAAATACCTCTTTATATGCTGTAAATCATTTTAACTCATGTTAAAGTTCTTAAGTCAACCAAATGTGTGTCTTTCAGTGCTTTCTCTAAAAATGTTCCTTTTTATTATGTCTTTGTGTGATTTTTTTTTAGCATTGCCATTGATAGTTGAAATGTTTGCATGGTTTCCCCTGTTTGTTCTAGTGAGCATGCCTAGTGCCACTGAGTGGTAATTATTTAAAATTTTCAGTAGGTCCACATTTTAATAATTGGGGTAATCTGTTTGTTGGTGTGCTTTTCCATTTACAAGCACTCATGTGTTTCACTGTATGTTATCTTCAGTAATCTAATGAGGTTAAGTACAAATGTTAGCTTTTGGCAGATGAAGAAACTGAAACCCAGAAGTTGACTGAATTGCTTGAAGATAGCATAGCTAGCAAGGAAGGGAGTTTGAACTCAGATCTGATTCTCTAAGCTTGTCTTTTCTCCTATACTTCAGATTACAGACTAATCAAAATTCACATAAAATTTTCATCATATTTTTTGTTACTCTGGACATCCTTTCTACCACTCCTAGAAGAGGTTTCCATCCTGTACGGAAGTGACTAATTCCCAAGTTGCCAACACCTTCATAGCGGTAATACCTCACTTCATTCTCTGCATAAATTTGACTTACGTTAAAAGTACAAGAATCTGATGTAAAAATAATTTAGAGATTAAATAGATGATGATACATGATTGACCATATGGTCATATTTAATATGATCTTTTTACCTACAGTGGGCAAATAAACATCCTCAAAGGAAGCAACTATGAATCATTTACCCTCAAAAGGAACACCAAACACTGTAGTTACACTATGAGCAGCAACCAAAAGGGCTAATGTTTTCTAAGACTAGTTTAAATTAATAGCTAATAGCTGTTTGTTATATTTATCTCATATGAAATATATCATCATTTAATTTCATGAGTTTTAACAGCTGTCGTATGTAGCAGCATGTGTTTATGGGAAAGGTCAGAGGTGTCATGAATACTAGATGGGTTCAGCTCCCAGCTTTTTCTTTTCAGGGTCTCGGTTTCTTTATCTGTAAAAGGACAGAGTGGGACTAGTTAAATAGTGGTTCTCTTACACCACACAAGTCTATAATTTGTTGTATCTGTTCAGCAGAGAGACTGAAGAGAAAAGCACCTCAGTAATGTGAAGACAGGAAGATGATTGAAAGACTAATACGTGATTCATATTGATCTGACTTTATCTCTGTTGGGCTTTACACCAAGAAATTACTTTATGTGGTTTGTACAAATAGACATGCAAACTTAAAATTTGGAGGCGTCAAAGCCTAAAAATTGGGTGTGCTCTCATTACGGAAGGCGTGCACAATAGGTCTGCGGTCTGAACCAGACCCGGTACTGGTTTGGTAGTTCATTATACCTCTGTGATGGGGGAATCTGTTCGTTTGGCGGAGATGAATATTGAAATTGACTTGAGTTACAGTTTATTTGACAAGCCCACCCACTTTTTTAGAGTTTGATGAGGACGAGGATTCTACTAGGCCCAACTAGCACAATGAATAAACTTTTTTGTTTTTCCTTAACTAAGGAAAACTGCTCAGGATAAGAATGCTCCAGCATGGGAATAAGAAACCTGTGTCACGGGAATTCATTTTTGGGTGTGCATAGCTTCGTTAGTTTTCCATGATTCTTCATTAAAAAAATAAATTGGACTTGTGTTCAATTTGCTAACTATATCATCTACCTTAGCATCAGTATTTTAAAGAAGTCTTATAAAGTCTTCGTCGAGACCCAGGGCTTCAGACTTATAAAAACCTAAGATTAGAAATGTGTGAGCCCAGAGGTGATACTAGGAAAAGAGAACAATTACAAGCTGCCTATATCTAAAGTCATTGTGGTTAGAAAGGAGTTAATTTTAGCATAGGGTTACATAAGCCCCTTTTCTCTAGCAGTTTTATCTAAACAAGTAGCTATATCAGTGTTTTTTATTCCCCCAGTTGATTACATCTGGTTGATTTATGCTTAAAGGGAAATAATAGAAAACTTCAGAAATTCCTTGGGGTGTAATATAAAAATGGGTTATTTTGAATTTCCTTTCTTGGAATTATTTTATAGTTCTTTGGTGGGTATGGCCAGCCTAGTGTAGCACTAAAAGGTGGGCTTTAAGGTTATAATGAACTCTTTTTTCACCGTTCTATCTAAAGCTTTGGATCTTTGCGGTATAGGTTAATGGAGGTGTTATTTTATAATACTTTGAATTGACATGAAAGGGGTTTATTATGGGGGGGGAAACCATAAGCTGTGAACTTTGGTAGCAAACAAACATCTGTCCATTTCAGAACCTTTCCTTGCTTTTAGCAAAGAGCCTGTGTTCATTTTATGTGACTGCCAGTGGTTTAAGGAGATCTGTTTCAAAAAGTTGCATGTTTTGATGCAATTTGGAAAATTGTTTACTTCACAAATACAGATTCATAAGAACAATTCATGAAAATACTGAAGATACGTTTGAGGATTTTCGTAATTGCAATAAATAGCATTTTTCTAATGAAAATGAATTTTGTTCATGAGTAAAAGTATGCATTTCTAAAGATTTTCAAACTTATGCTTTCTATGTGAAGCTGCTGAACTAAAAGAAAAGGGATGAAACCAAGTCTAGTAAACTTCGGTTTTTCCTTTTTTTGTTTCTTTTCTCTCTCTCTCTCTCTCTTTTTTTTTTTTTTTTGTGGTGTTGGTCGGGGGAGGTGAATTACATCTAAAATCTCTCCAGAGACTGGATGCTCCTACAGTAGACTGTAAGCTCTTTGAGGGCAGTCTTGTCGGGTTTATAACTGTATTTTCCCCAGCGCCTAGCATAGCGCTTTGCACACCTAGTAGGCGCCCAATAAATATTGATGATGAATGAAGTCATTGTCTTTCTAATGTGACCAAACCATGGGAACAGTTACCTTTCTCTTCCTTGGTAAGTGAGGAATTTTCACTCTTGAGCTCCTGGTGACATTAGGTCTGACTCTTTCAAGCCCAGTTGTCCTGCGCATCCAGGCAGGTGTGCCTGCACTGGTCACTATGCCCGGTGTTCTCTCAGTCTCAGGCTTTTGACAGGAGAGCCAAGGGATAGTGACCGGTTGGGAAGAAAGATAGATGTGTAAGTTGCTTTACTTTAAAATAACACTAGAAAACCACAACACAGACCTGACTTAAAAAAACCTCGATAGCATGTTCCACTTACGAAGAAATGGGTCAAATTCTACAGCTTGAGTCCGTGTGAACATCTGGCTTGCTGAGCCTCTCCCAGCCCGTTGGGCACATAGCTGGTTTGGCTTACTGCTGGTCATGTCTGTCTGGCTTGCTGGACTGCACCGAACTTACCGGGCTACGGAAATTTTACTTAGAAGAGATGGGAGTTTCCTAGTGAACTCAGACAAAACAACAGAAACAGTCCTTCAAAAGAACAGAAAAGCAGTTGAGTTTAGAGGGTAAGTTATTTTTCAATCCCAAATGTATTGTGTCTGGGACAATACAAAAGGTCAGCTAGATTTTGCTTTGTTTTTGTTTTCTTCAAATCTGGGTAACCCTGCCAGAACTTTATTCCTGGTACATTTTCTCTTGTACTCCTGTGTCTCTTCTTTCCAGATGATGTGTTACAGCAAGAATTCTGGGTTCAGTAGGACTACTGGTTAATGAGTTACCCCGCAGAAAGAAAATTTATCACTTACATCAGTGCTTTATCGGTTTAGACTTTAAAGCTCGAAGTAGCTTCTCAGCTGGGTCTTTCCTTTGCACTTGAGGACAACAAAGGGGCATTTCTGTTTTGGAATAGTGTAATTTATGCCTATCCCACTGGTCTATCTGTTGAGTATAGTTGGAAATAGGCATCTAGGAGTTGAAAAGTACAGGTGCTGATTAGTAATAGATATTGGGGCAAAAGAGCCTCTCTTTTATTCTGATGGTTGCCACTCAGGCGCCCGTTGCCCCTCTCCCCTGCTTGTCAGGGGCTTGGAAGAACTGGCACCTGCCTGATAGTACAGAGGGTGGGAAGGAATCAAATGGCTGTGAGTGGGAAGCGGGGTTATGAGATGCTCTAAGGCAGCGGTTCTCAACCTGGGGGTCGTGAACGACTGTTTCACAGGGGTCGCCTAAGACCCTCGGAAAACAAAAAAGATATTTACGATTCATAACAGCAAAATTACAGTTATAGAGTAGCAATGAAAATAATTGTATGGTTGGGGGTCACCACAACATGAGGAACTGTATTAAGGGGTCGCGGCATTAGGAAGGTTGAGAACCGCTGCTCTAAGGGATCCGACACAAAGGCATCCCCAACTTGAAATTGGATCCTTAGAAGAGTTCACCCAAGTCGTGTGGGCATCTCCTAGATTTATTTTGGGAAATTGGGTATGCCCATTGCTGCAGCCTCTGCTGCTGCTTCTAAGACCCCGCTAAGTATAATGCTCAATGCATGCAGAGACAAGCAGGGACTATTACCACTCTAATTGGGAGTCACGTTCACTTGTTACTAAAAGTTTGCAAATACCATTATATTAGCATTGACTTTGCTACCCTACTGTTGGCTCTCAGCTCAGCGTTTGTTAGCCCAGTTAAATACTCTGTGCATTAGAGTAACACTAACTGTTGTAATAGCATCAAAATTTCAGGAGCTCAAGAAAATTAAGGAGTTCGATCTCTTGCTCTTGCAAGGAACCAGTGTGGTGGTCAGGCAGCTTTTTACATGTGACTGAAGGACCCAGGTGCCTCCCACCTTGGGACTGCCATCCCAGGGCTCACAATCCTTCACACCTTATGGGGGTTGAGAGGGGAGTGAAGTCTTAACCTGCTGAACAGCTTGGCCCAGAGGTGTCACATGTCACCAAGTCACATTCCAGGGTGAGAACAAATCGAACTGCCCTGCGTACATGCAGCAACATCTGGAAAATAGAATCTTCAGTTGGGTAGTCACTCCTCAGAAACAACTGCATGATAGGTGAGAAGCATTTCTTATGTAGCTTGTCACCTTTGTCACTTTTTGCTTATGCTGCTCAACAGCTTTGCCTGACCAACACCGTGCTCTAACCCAGCAGCGGATGACGCACTGATTCTTGTGAACATTTTGTGTATTTTGTAGTGTAAGCATTAAAGATTTTCTGAAGGTGAGCATGTTAGGTTTTAAGAGTTGGGTTTTTAAGCACTTCTCAGGCATTACTCAGGTGTTGGAGTTACCTGACAAATATCTTTCTAGCCTAGTAGTCCCTCCAGTACTTAGAGTAATTTTTTCTAAGTTTCACTGAAGGGACACCCAGTTTATATAGTGATTTTCTTTTCCCCCCTGGTTTCTGCTCTCTGTATCAGTGCAACTCAAATATGCAGAATTTATATAGTGATTTTCTTTTTCCCCCTGGTTGCTGCTCTCTGTATCAGTGCAACTCAAATATGCAGAAGTTTTCCATCAATGCTGCTCAAATCTGTTGCCCAGCTTTCATCTAGAATTTTCCATGTTGTTTGGGCTGGGAAGAGTTGCCTGGGAGTCGGTCTTTAAGAGCAGATAATTTTAAACACTTGAGGGCCCATCAAAACTGCTGGGACCCTGTAGCTTCCCATAGAAGGAGCATAACCAACATTTGTTTCACTAAAAGCACTCCACCATGTAAGACATACACAGCTGAGCCACACTGAGTAGCTTCCTCATCCTCAAACTTGCCAACCAACTTCCTATGGCAGAATCAATGTGCCACTTTCTTCCTCTTCCTGGAACATTATTTCCTCAGCTACTCCCTCATTCTTTCTCATACGTAAGCTCATCAGAGGGCTTCCCTGATGTCTTGAAAATCATACTCCTGTCATTCTTTATCCTTTCACTTTGCAGCATTATTCTCCATGTTCTTGTTGCCATATGAGACTACTGGAGAGAGAGACAATTTTATGAAGAGGGAGCTACATTTTGTTTTATCCATACCTCTACATACAGGACACATATATTTACTGAAGGAATTAATAAAAAGCAAGAAAGTAGTGACTAAAATTTTAGTTATATTAGTTTACACAGGTATTTTGTCTGATGTAAGACAGTATTTCAGATCATTCCATGACACAATTTTTTTAAGGATAAACTTTTACTGTAAAAATTACTCTCATCTCTGTTTAACATTAATGAAAAAAGGATAGGGATATGGAATCATTTATATTTGAAATGCGTTAGCCAAAGGACAAGCCTAAATCCTTATAAGTTTATGTCTTTTGCCTTTTTTTTCATTTTTAATGGGAAAAATGCATGAAATATTTGTATATAATTTAATAAGGAGTTATATAGCAGGTACCTCTGTAACCACTACCCCGATCAACAGAACAGTCCAGTACCCCAAGCCCCGCACCTCTTACCTCTTCTGCATCACAACCTCTTCCCTGTCCACTGTCTTCGTTTGTGTTAGTTATTTTCTTGCTTTACTGGAAATTTTACCACCTATGTTGCATTCTATTCGTTTTGCTGTCATTGTGAACAATAGCAACATTCAGTGGCTTACAAAATCAAACCTGTATTTCTTGCACCCACGAGGGCTTGTGGTTGGCTCAGGATATGCTTCCCACACCTCTTCATTCAGAATTCAAGTTGAACAGTTCCTTTTGGGACCTGGGAGAGCTGTAGAACAGGCCCAAACTCTTGATGCCTCTTGAAACTTCTGATTGAACGTGATAGGCATCATGTCTGCTCCTTAATTGGCTCAAGCATGTCACATGGCAGAGCCAAGTCAAGGTGGGGATACAGATTCAACAGGGACATACATAGTGGGAGGCTCTGGACACTGCATAATCCTCTTACCGGGGAGAGGGAGGGAATTCTTGGAAGTAATGATATAATTTGTTACATATCCCAAAGCTATATAATTTAGTTTTGCTTGGTTATCGGTGTAAGTGAATCTTAGCATAGGAATTTTTTGTGTCTTGCTGTTTCATCTTAGCATTCAATTTGAGAGATTCATTTAGGTTTTTGTGTGAAGATAGTTTATTTTCACTTTTAGGTAGTAATCCATTGTTTTATAGTAATCCGTAGCAATCCATAGTCTGCATAATTTATTTACCTATTCTGTTGATGGGCATTGCTGTGAATGTTCTTGCACAGGTAGCCTGATATGTACGTTTGTCTTTCTCTAGGAAAGAGATCTTCAAACATTTTTGCTTGCATAGCACATATAAGATTTATGGAAAAAAAGAACCTCTAATGTTATTAAACATCTAAAATTTTTCATATTATAAAGGATGTGATTTTTGACATAAATATTAACATTTTAAAGTACAAACTGTTACATTAACTTAAAAATGCATCTAAATGTATCAGATGAATCTAAATATAATGATTTGATAGTCTACAACCATTCTTTTTCTAATGAATAAATTCCTTAATGTTAAAAATTTTATCATTTCTTTTTCTCCTTAAAATCATATTTATATTTCTAACCCCTTCTCCCCCAATTTTTTCTACTGGGTAATAGTACAGATAGTTCTAGTTTCAAAAGGCTTTAACTTAAGTTATTTGTATAATTATCAATAGTTCAAAATTGATCAAAATATGTCTTAGAAATTTTGGTAAATAATTGCTAAATAATTGTAACTCTTCATGAGATGGGGTCAGACGTGGAAGGATAATTGCTGGTGCTTTTATTAAAGGGATTGTCAAATGACCTGTCTCCAAGGTTTTACACTTTGCAGCAGCACATCCCAGTAAGACGACCAGGTGGGCCTTTCCTCTCAGGGGAAGACAAGAAGGAGGCCCTCCAGCGGGGGCACATTGTTGCCTAATGGATGTAGCCGAGCACAGAGCTGATTTCTGTGGAGCAGTCTGTCCCATGTACAGAGCTTACGTTCCTTCTAACCGAAGACCCCTGCTCTAACATACCCACTTGAGACTGCACATGTC